ATAGCTTGCTTTGTGCATGGAAACATCTACATCTTATCCTTTCCTTGAGGTACATTAAACAAGGAAAGGTGTTAGATAACTAATTTGGAATGTAGTAGTACATTTCTGGTACTTAGTTCAAAGATGAAAAATGGAATTTCAGATTAAGAGATCCTAAATATCCTTAGATGTATGTTGAATAGGTTATCAGGCCCTAGAAACAGTGTACCCAATTGTTGAAATCTCAATGCTAGACATGAATGTATGCTTTGCTTGTAAAACATCTTGTCTAACTCTCAATGGGAATCCATGGTCTTCATTGTCATATGAAACTCTTTCTCACTTCTCAAAATCCCACTTTATTTGATTCCTTTATTGGACTAACTTGCAATTCTTAGATTTATGTTCAGAGGCATGTGGATTTTGTATCAGTGAATGAGATCTATTTAGTCAGTTTCATTCCACAAGTGGTATGAGGTATTTTTAAAGAGGGTTCGACTATGATATGGAAAAGATATGATATCTGAAAAGCATTTGACCAATCAATTGGAATTATAAAGGTGATAGCAAATTAGGTGTTATTTATCAAAATTCATGGGTGGGCTTTGATTGGTCAAAGCTCTTTCCATACCATGTTTTATGCATCATAGATTTTCCCTTTTAAAGATTGTGTCCGTTTTTTAGGATTTTTTGGAGTGCTTGTAGGACTATTAACACCATTGATCAAGGGGTTTCTTTGGAATCTCAGTAAGATATATCCTATAGATCAGGTGTCATTTATTTTTATTTCACCACAAGTTTCTCATCATTCTTCTTTCGCTGGAGTCTGGATCTCCTGCCCACAAGAACTCTGCCCATGTTTATCGCAGCCACACATGGAGAACATCTCATCCTCTGCATAGTATTATGCAGAGGAATATGTTCCCAATTCACGGGGGGTAGTGTATTGTGGGTAGGCGTGGGCAAAGTTCTCGTGGGCATGAGATCCGGAGTCCTTTCGCTGACCATCGTAGCTATTTTTGTATATGACTAGCGTTGTCGGATATGGCTTTACAGAAGCATAGCCCTTGATTTATGTGTTATTTATCCATTCCTACTTTTTTTTTATGCCAATGTTGGTGACTAGAGGTAACTCTCTTCAATTATTCTTGGGATGGGAGGGAGTAGGTCTTGCTTCATATTTGTTAATTCATTTCTGGTTTACACGACTTCAGGCAGATAAAGCAGCTACAAAAGCTATATGTGTATATTTATATACCCAAAGACCAATTTTTAAAAAAAAATATATATATAAAAGTGCAAGGTTTTTAGTACCAATACACCTCTTTGATACTTTGAACCTTGGTTGGGATCTTTTGCCAACAAAAGAAAAAAAAAACTTCCAACTTGATTTGTGGTGTGAGATGAATTCTTGCAACATAATCCCTTTCAATAAGTTCCAACATAAGAATTCCCATACATGATTATCTCAACGTGCATTGAGAACATTTCTTGTATTTGTCATAGAGATGCATGGTTGGGGTGTTATAGGGTACGCTTTGTGGAGAAGCAAATACAATTTCTACATGCTCGGATATGCTGCCCATGAGTTGTTCTCATGTCCCTATCCCACAGGACATTACAACTGCACATTGAGATGGGGAGATATTTCTAATGGTGGGCAATGGAAGACCGAATCAGCCCCCCATAATGTCCCACAACACATCCTCGTCATGTATTGGGAACATCTCCTAATGATGACATCATCATTCCAGATATTATCATCAGGAGATGTTCCCAATACATGGCGGGGATGTGTTGTGGGACGTTTGTGGGGGGCTGATTTGAACTCGGGCAGTTGTATTCTATGGGCACTCGGATCTCTTATTCACAAGAATTCTATTCGCGTAAAACACTACCTTTGTGCATTAAAAACATCTCCCTATACATAATAACATCTAATAGCATAAGATATTCTCCATAAGTAACTACGATCTCTAGTGGGTTTTTTTTTGGGTAAAATACCAAAACCTCCCTTGAAGTTTCTGACAATCATAAAACCTCCCCTATAGTTTCAGTTTAGTAAAAACCTCCCCTCTATTTTTGACAAAATTAACAAATACCTCCCTTCCGTCAATGACCAAGACGAAAAACATTAAAGAGATGTTTTTTTTAAATACCTATTTTACCCTTTCTCGACACTCTTCATCTTCTTCCCCGTTCCAACCCAGAAGCAAATGCAACGGCGTCACCCCTCTAAATCCGATCTCTTCCTATCTCATCTTCTTCGGGATGATGATTTCTTGTTCCCGAAGTACCAATTCTGGGTGATGTTCTCAGTGCTGACGACGACGACATAAGTGTTGTGGTGAACCTGGAGAATGCCCTTGGCCAAGTCGATGGCGATCGCTCCTGCCTACATCCCATTCCGCCCAAATTAAAGCTCCTAATGTTACCTCTTAGCTTGTACTTGTTGATAATCATGGCGGACAGCGAAGGGGTCGGATTGAACAAGCTACAGTTCACAACTAGTATACCAATGTCCTTAGGCTTCATGGAGATATTGGAGAAGAGGTTGTCTAGAGCGCCAAACATGACTTGCTTGGATTCCTCCCTAGCGTTAGCCATCACCGACTGTGGAGGAATGTAGCGCATCGCGTTAGGGACGTGTGTCTCCTCGCCGAGTCCAGAGTGCTCGAGGATCTTGCATTGGAACTCGAGCGAAGACTCATCGAAGTCCCCAGTGAGCCTTGAGTGTTCCATGAAATCCTTGAAGTTAACCCTTAGGTTTGGGGGAAGGAGGTAGCAGGCAAAGTCCACTAGATACATGGGGCGTGGTCGCATCATGAAATAGACGGTAGCACCCAATACAAGTAGTGCAGAGCAAATGGCGACACTCACCAAATTGTTCTCAAGCTGATGTGATAGTTCAAGGATATTCTCTGAGCTCAACTACGACGCCTGGACCAGGGTCACAACCATCACCGAAACAAGAGAGAAAGTGACCAGATATTTCATCAAGTAATGATACCCCAGCTTCACATATTTAACGTTCACGCTTTGTAAGAAATTAGGCAATCTCCGACTCTGCCAAGCCTGAATGCCACTTCCTTCACCAACACCACCATTTTCGGTGGCTTGAGCTCCCACTCCTTCCATGGCGAATTGGTGACTGAGCCTAGTGGTTCTAATAAACTCTAAAGCTAGATAATAGATATCTCTCTCTATGAAATGCAGAGGATGAGGGATGGAAGGAATAGAAAGGTGTATATATAAAGATATTGGCGCCTTAATTAATCGATTAGAACAAAAAAGATAAAATTAAATGAGAGGTCAGAGGTTAGAGGGGTGTTGCCACTGCCTTTACTTCTAGGTTCAAACGGGGAAGAAGATGAATAGTATTCGAGAAAGGGTAAAATAGGTATTTTGAAAAAAATATCATCTCTTTAACGTTTTCAGTCTTGAACATTGACGGAAGGGAGGTTTTTATTAATTTTGTCAAAAATAAATGGGAGGTTTTTGCTAAAATGAAACTATAGGGGAAGTTTTTATGATTGTTAGAAACTTTAGGGGAGGTTTTTGTATTTTACCCTTTCTTTTTTTGGTAATAGTGGGCCGCTGAGGGTAGAATTATCATGGGTGGGAGATCCGAACTCTTTTATGGATAGATTTGTGGGAACGGTTTGTTAGTAGCAGATCAAATGAAATTCTACATAGATCACGACCTTACATATATTACTATGGCCCCACCTTAGACGTCATTTCATCCAATTTAAGGTGGGTCCATAAAGAGCGTAGCTGATTTTGTGTTGGGATTTTTGTAGGCAGGATATACCAATCGGTACAACCAAGGTTTTTAAAACTGACCCGGACAGCAAATCGGTCAGAGTCCAGTTCTTGGGTCGAACGATCATCTCGTTTTGACAAATAGAAATAAAAATTAAAAAAAAATAAAAAATGATCAAAATCGCTGAACAGTTCGAACAATTCAACCATCTGAATCAGAGGTTTGTTAATCAAATTAACATTTTTTTGACAAAAATCCAATTTTGAAGAAAAACAAAATCCGTCACCCTACTAGTTCCCGATTTTTTCGGTAACCGTCGGATCCGGTCCGATTTTGAAAACCATGAGTACAATCCCTCTAACAAGTGGAACAATCACTGGGATTCCAAGGACCCCACCTTGTTTTTAAATCGTACGAATACGATCCTGCTATTCTCTCTCTTTCAATTTCGTTTCATAGTGGGAGAAAAAGCCAAGAAAAAGAAAAAGGGAAAAAACCATGAGGGCACATTCCCAATTTTTTGTCCTATTTACCAATAGATTGGGATTTGGGATCCATATCTCTCACCCTTTTAAATCAATCTTCTAGTTGATTTTGATCGAATCATTGATAGCCGGACCCAGGTCCTCTCACTGAATTTACATCTGCGCCCCACGTGTATATCTCAACATATCTTCGGTATGATCATTGGAAGATGTTCTCAATGCACCGTTGGAATATACTGTGAGCGCATATGTGAATTCTTTCTCTCACTAACGTATCTCGTACGTATTTATGATCCTCTTGTTATTATTTATGGGAATTCGTATCTCCCGCGTTATCATGGGAGATGCTCCAAATATACGACTGGGATGGGCATGGGGTGCATATGGGGCGTGCTGTGTAGAGCGCTTATACGAAGAGTTCAAATCAGTCCTCACAACGTCCCACACCATATCCCCGCCGTCATGATCGGGAGATGTTCTCAATACACGGCGGGGATGTGGTGTGGGACGTTGTGGGGCTGATTTGAACTCTTCGTATAGGTGCTCTACACAGCACGCCCCATTGCACTCCTTGCCCATCCCAGTCGTGTATTGGGAACATCTCCCATGATAACACGGGAGATGCTTCCAATGCACGATGAGATGTGCATGTGGGGCGTGTGAGGGGTGCGAATCTGAACTCTCTGAACTTCATCCCGTCACTATGATGTGGGACCCATGTGGTTGGCCGCTTTCCAAATCGTCCCAACAACGTCGGAGTTCATGGAAACGTGGGCTCCACCGAAAATTGGGAGCTTCTTGTGGCGTTTCCGTTAGGCAGAGGAACCTCTCTAAACCAGGAAAATGGTTGGCGATTCAGACCATTTCTGCAGCCAATGATGCCATTGCGATTGAAGAAATAGTGGATTTGCGGGTGATATCGCCTTGATTTTACCGAATTCGAAGCTTGTGCAGGAGATTTCGTCTTCCAGATAAGTTTTCTGATCAGAATTGTGATTCTTGTAAACAAAGCTGCATTTTTTTAATCCAGAGGAGCGCATTTTTCCAGGTGCATTGGGATACATTTGGGTTTCTTAGGTGGAATTTAGGGCATTGATGATTGTTTTACTGAAAGCAGAACTGCTTTTTGTTTCATTTATTGTTTTGGATTGATTCTCGTACAGAGAAGTTCGGTCCCGGTCCTCACAGAAAAGAGACCGATCTTCTTTTATTGAATGTTTTTAATAGGTTATCGATTAGAGCCGTGAGGGTTTGTTTGGAAGAGAAAACAGGAATTCTGGGCATTGTGCTGTTCTGGTTGTGGGTTTGCAATGGGGAAATCTGGAGGAAAGAAGAAGAAGGGTAGCAAATCAGGAGAGCCAAGCGAGAGTGCCGATGAAAAGGACACAGCTGTCTCCATTGCTATGGCTGAGGAATTAAAGGATGAGGGGAATAGGCTGTTTCAGAAGAGAGATCATGAAGGAGCCATGATAAAGTATGAGAAGGCCCTCAAGTTGCTTCCGAAAGACCATATAGATATTCCCTACCTTCGGAGTAGCATGGCGGCTTGCTATATGCAGATGGGCATCGGTGAGTTTCCCAGGGCGATAAAAGAGTGCGATTTGGCACTTGAATCCTTCCCCAAGTACAGTAAAGCTCTCTTAAAAAGAGCAAGGTGTTATGAATCTCTTAATAAGCTGGATTTGGCATTCAAAGATGTTAATTCTGTTTTAAACATCGAAACGAATAATATTATGGCGCTGGAAATTGCACAAAGGGTGAAAAAGGAGCTTGAGAAGAAAGGTCTCAAGGTGGATGGTGAAGCTATTGTTTTGGCTCCAGAATACGTTGAACCACCTCCTTCGAGCAAAGTAATAAAAGAGAAAAGAAAAAAGAAGATTGACAAGGATAAGGAGAAGAAAGCCGAAGACCAGGTGGTTGTGGAGGATACTGTTTGTAATTCCGAAGAAGTCAAAGAAGAAGTAACCATGAGGACTATAAAACTTGTGTTTGGGGAGGACATAAGGTGCGTGCATGTACCTTCCAATTGCAGCATTCTGCAGGTAAGGGATATAATTCAAGATCGATTCCCAAGCTTGAAGGCTGTTCTCATTAAATACAAGGATCAAGAAGGTGACTTGGTTACAATCACCTCTACCGTAGAGCTGAGGTGGGCTGAAGCATCAGCTGAACCACAGGGTTCTATCAGGCTGTATGTTGTAGAAGTTAACCCTGAACACGAACCATTGCTGGATAGAGTGGAGGTTAATACGCTTGGGAGAAACAAAAAAAGCATTGTGAAGAATGGAAATGCAAGAAATGTTGGGGAAATGCAAACAGGGTCCTCTCATATTGATGACTGGATCATCCAATTTGCTCGGCTGTTCAAGAACCATGTTGGGTTCAATTCAGATGCATATTTGGACCTTCATGAGATGGGTATGAAGTTCTACTCAGAGGCTATGGAGGATACTGTTACGAGTAAAGCAGCACAGAACTATTTTGATACTGCATCAGAGAAGTTCCAGGAGATGGCAGCCTTAGCCTTATTCAACTGGGGAAATGTTCACATGTCCACAGCAAGGAAGAGGGTGTTAATCGAAGAAAATGATTCAAAAGAAAATGTACTTGCCCAGGTTAAAACTGCATATGAGTGGGCACAAAAGGAATATGTTAAGGCAGGAATTAGATATAAAGAAGCTCTAAGGATCAAATCTGACTTCTATGAAGGCCATCTTGCACTTGGGCAGCAACAGTTCGAGCAAGCAAAACTTTCTTGGTACTATGCTATTGGGACCAAGGTTGATTTGGAGACATGGCCCTCTTCAGAGGTACTACAGCTTTATAACAGTGCTGAGGACAATATGGAGAAGGGTTTCAAGATGTGGGAGGAGATGGAAGAGGAGAGTCTGAGCAAAATTCTCGAAAGTAACAAGGTTAACAAAACTTCCAAATGGGGAAAGGTTAAAGTACAATTGCATAAAATGGGGTTGGAAGGACCATTCAAATATATCTCAGTAGAAGAAGCTTCAGAGCACGCTGCAAATATGAGATCTCAGATAAACCTTTTATGGGGTACCATTCTGTATGAGCGATCTATTGTTGAATTCAAATTAGGGATACCTGTATGGGATGAATGTTTGGAGGCTGCAGTTGAAAAATTTGAACTTGCGGGAGCCTCTCAAACAGACATTACTATTATGTTAAAGAGCCACTGTTCCATTAAAACTGCAGTGGAAGGTAAAAATACTGATGTTCACTGATCTCTCTCTCTCTTTCTCTCTCTGCTTGTCTGCCTCTCTCTTTGTGTTGTTAACAAAATACTAATTTATAGTTTGATCATTTGTCTTAAATACAGGCTTAGATTTCAAGATGGATGAGATAGTACAGGCATGGAATGAGATGTATGATGCTAAAAGATGGCAGAGTGGCATTCCATCCTTCCGTTTGGAACCATTATTTCGAAGGCAGGTTTCAAAGCTTCATCATATCTTGGAGCATATTTGAGTTGTAGCTCCTTCAGTTAGCAGGATCGAGGTTTAAACTGAAATTGTATAGGACATTGGGAGACTCATATGCACTACTCCATTGTCCTGAAACTGCACTGATGCTGACTTAGGTAACTCCTGTGAACACAATTTTGTCTTTTTCAAGTAGTGATACCTTGATTACATTCCCCAATTATTTTTAGTGGAGCATTTTAAATGGCCTGTATACCATACCATAGTGTTGAAAGGACAAAGGTTATAATCTTAGTTGCCAGAAAGGAAACTAGTTCAAGAAACATGACTCATGTGACATGGTATTTATTCAAGGGACAATATCCCCTAAACAGAAAGGTAGAAACACACAAAAAAGGTTTGCACATGAAAATGAGTTTCCTGGTATCTTTAAATTAGTAGAATACTACTGAATCAAAGAATCTGTAAAGAAAAGAGATATTTCTTGAAGAAGAAGAAGAAAAAGAGAAGAGAAGAAATTGAGAAAGAAAAAGAGACCAATGCATTCTGGCTGGCCCCCTCGCTAGTATATATACTTTTAATTAAAAAAGGGTGCAATGACTAATATGCCCTTATAAGGCAACTAACACATAAAATTGCATAAATAACTTAAGAACCATTGAAAAGGGACCCAACAAGAGTGTTATGGTCCCCACTCCCTATCTAAACAATAAATAAACAAAAACAACTACTAAATTTGCACAAATCTGCCCAAAAACCATTTGGTAGAACTGCCAGACCAAAATAGGTATCTCATCACGTGATCTCATCAAATATATCCAAGAATATCGTGTGTAATCATCCACAAACAAAAGAAAATAACAGTAACCACCCATGGAAGAAATATGATAAGGTCCCCATACATCAGTGTGAACAATATCAAAAGCAAAAGAACTTCTTTTATTACTTGGTTTAAAAGAATGTCTATAATGCTTTCCCAACTAACAACTTTCACACTCCAAACTAGATAACTGAGCAGACTCAAACAGCTTTGGAAACAAAGATCTTAATGAACTAAAAGAAAGATGACCCAAACAATTATGCCAGAGCATAATCTGACTCATTGACTCTGATCCACTATTATTGTTGCTACTAACATGATGACTCTGATGACTTGAAATCTCATCCAGAAGGTAGACTCCATTCACCTAACGACCACTCTCAATCGTCCTTTTTGACTCCAAATCCTACAAAATACAATTACTAGGAAGGAAAGTCACTGAATAGTTCAAATTTCTTGTCAGGGAACTCACAAAAAGAAGATTTGCATGGAGTCTAGGGACATGTTGGACAAAGGATAAAGTGATGTCATCAGTCACTCTAACTGTCCCTTTCCCAGCAATGGGAATATGGAAACCATCTGCTGTAGAGACTCTGTCTCTACCAGAGCACAACTAGTAAGAACTGAAAATGGTAGATATATTGGTCATGTGCTCAGATGCTCCTGAGTCTATAATCCAGGGAGGTCCCTCCTTTCTTGAGGTGGATGCATAATTTGCAACCGCATATGAATTACCTGTATGAGCAAAGGAAGTAGTGTGATTGGTTCTTGTGCTTTGTTGTCCGCCTGAAAAACTAGAGTCGACTGAATCCTTCTTGCTCATAAGTTGTCTATACTTCTCTAATTCAATTCTAACTGTTGCTACTATAATGGACTCCAAGCAACTTGGGTAAGAGGTTTTGAAGAATCTCCTGTAATTGCCACATTTGCATTTTCCTTCTTGTTCTTGACTTGAGTTGGTATGACATGTGGGTAGTGCTTCCAACAAGTGTCTCTAGTATGTTTAGTCTTCTTGCAATAGTCACACACCAAGTCCTTATCCTCCCTCCTAGTCTTGCTACTCCCACTATTTCCATTTGGCTTAGATTTGATTGTACTAATCACAACCGATTGGTCAACCCCAGGCTGTCTCAACATAACACTCCTCTTGCTCTGCTCTCCAAAAACAAAGGCATAAGCTTGAGAAAGAGTCACACTTTCTTTGGGAAGGATGTGTTGCCTAGCAATATCAAATTCAGGGTTCAATCCAGCTAAGAACTCAAAGACCCTATTCTTCTCCACCAACTTCTGACAGGTTGTTGCATCCTTCTTACTCTCCAAAACCACAATCTCTAAGTGATCTATCTCCTGCTAAAGTGTTTTCAGCATGGAGAATACATGGCAAGTGGTCTATCTCCATGTTCTGTATTAATCACCTGATTCCTTAACTGATAGGCTCTAACTACATTTTGTTTCTAGGAATACGTTTCAGTCACTCCATCCCAAATCTCCTTTGCAGTAAGCCCACAAAGAATTTTTCCAATGTGGGGTAAACGTAGAATTACACAGCCAGGACATCACCATGTAATTCTCTTGTACCCACTAGGAGGAATCTGTATAAGGTTTCTTCACCTCCCTAGTGATGTACCCCAATTTCCCACGAGCACCAATGGCCATCTTGGTTGATTGTGCCCAGTCTAAATAATTTGTACCATCCAATTTCACTATGGTAAAAATTCTAGACCCAAAAGTTTCACTAGTACCTCTAACACCCAGACCCATGTTACCGATGGACTTCTGCTCAATACTCAAAACTCTCCATTTCAACTTCAAGCGATTCAAAAACAAGAAATAACTAGGTAGAAAGCCTCCAAGATCAAATCGATCTCACACACAAGGGTAACGGACCTTTCCGGAAGAAGAAAAGCCTATCTGGAGAGAAATCCCTTTTCTCCCACTGCCTCCTCGAGGTCATGTTTCAGTAGCTTACATCCTTCCTGCCTATCAAGGTGTAGTGTTTTCTCATCCTTATTGATGTAGGTCAAGGTAGGGGGCCCAAAATAATTAGATTTAGTGGTAAGCTTTGTGGGATGAAGGAAGGGCTTTGGGTGATTAATGATGAAGAATAGTGATAGAGAAACAAGCAAGCAACTTAGGTTATTCATTCTTGCCCATTCTTGCCTAGAATGAGCAAGAATTAAGAGAATGAGGCCTAGAGCAATGAACCAAACATGGCTTTAACATCCAGCAAAGAATGAGCAAGAGATTAGAAATAAAGAGAACTCTTGTTATTAGAGTAAACAACAAATAGATAGATCACTGGAAAGAAGAAATAAGTGAGAAAGGGGAAAAGAAGAGAAACATTCCTGGGAACAACCAGATTTCACTAAACTAAACTTTATTTTGTCAAATACTATAAGAACTCGGATGCCCCTTTACAGACTTCTATTTGGACTAAGAAACTAACCCAAATAACTTTTAACCACTTTATAGAGAAGTCAAACTTACTAATAAAAGAAAAAAAAACTAAGGCAAACCCATAGGTAACCTATAGGGACACTTAAATAAAGACTCTAACTCCTAAAAGAACTCCAATAACTCATTATAGTCCTACCATAACTAACTTAATGTAGAGAAAGCAGAAATTACTACAAATAGTAAAACATGACTTTACTATAAATAATAACTAGGGGAATTAATATAGGGAAGAGTTGTTTTGGGCTCAGCTGTGATTCCTGTATTTCTTTCCTAGTTTACTTGTAAAATTCAAGGAGGGGCTGCAGCTCGCGCCTCTTCCTCGGATGTTGTATGAATTCACAACTCTAAATCAACTTCTGAATTAATAAACTTATTATTATTCATCAAAAAAAAACTATGGGAATTAATATTAATAATAACTACAAAAGTTGGTCTGGACTTCCATCCCGACAGCAGTGCTCTGGGCTCTGGGCTATTGGTCTGAGAGAAACAACAGAATTTTTAGTCAAAGAGTGAGAGGGCCAGAGGAAATATGTCAGATGGCTGTTTGTAAACTGATATCCTGGATTTCAGTCACCCCAGAATTCAAACATGTTGATGCAGCTCAGTTACTGAGAAATCAGTCTATTTGGCGTTTGAAATGGGGGGTCCTCAGGCCTGCCTTGTTGTTGGCAGGTTCCTGTTTTGTACTCTTAAAGTTTTAATCAAATAAATTTACCTTACCTTTAAAAAAAATAATAATAATAACTACGAAAGTTACTATAAATAGTAATTTGATTTAATAATTACAGTAAATTTCTAAAGACTTAGAACCCTATCTTAAGAAATATACAAGTAGAATGCAAACTTAAAAAGCTCAAAATATCTCTTATCAAAAAAAAAAAACAAAATGAATTGAAGTTAGTTAAGAATTGGAAAATTAATTTCTTTTTCCATGATTCTTTCTTTGTTTTGTATATTCACCATTCTCCCTCAATTTGAAAAACTCATCCCCTAGTTTTGTAGTGAGGAAAAATCAACATTTGTTCCAACTCATGATCTGTAGGTTTGGTTTCAGGAGCTATAAGGATGAAGAAATTAGTAAAATGAAAAATCAACTCCTTATTTTTAGGAATCACCATATCAATGTGTTGGAGTTCTTCTTGATCTACAATGAAGTAATGAACCCTTTGAAGAAATTGGCTAGCAATCCATAAATACATAATTACCTTTTAGTTGAAGTCATTCTTCAAGCACTTGGAATATATCTTTAGACACTTCTTTCACAGGCATGGAAGGAGGCTTCACTGCTTCAACAATGAGTGGATTTACAGCTCGGTGCCCTCCTTCCTTTTCAACTTTTTCTTGAATTACAGCTTTAGGAATAGGAACATTAAGGATAATTCATTCTGAAGGTTTTTCTGCATAGTAGATGCAATAGAGGGGCAATGTAGAAATAATGACTTGAGAATTCAATGCCATACTAATTTATTAGATAATACAATTGAAAAACTATAATAAATGGTAATATTGTTCTCTATAAGTAAGGTATTTGACTTAGCGTTTAAAATTTCAAATCTTTGATTTATTGAAGCAAATTTCTGCTCAGCTTTGTGATTCATTGCAAAAGCAACTCTAGATGCTAGAGTTTTTTTTTTTTTTTTGGTAATTCAATTTCAATCCTTCTCTTCCTCGTAGTTATAAACCAAACCATCAAACTTGGTATTAGCTTTGTTACATCTAGATATGACTTTGATACCAAACCAATGTAGGACAAGGCAAGGGGATCCTACAAATTTTGGATCTATTAGTGGACTTGGTGGGGTCAAGGGAAGGACTTAGAAGATTAATGATGAAGAATAGATGGATAAGCATGTTGTCCACCAAAGAATGAGCAAGATA